ACTGACCTTTCTTTCTTTTTCACAGTCTGGACAGTTTGTAACCAACGTTTCGATTTGTTGTGACAGTCCAGGCCACCCTACACTGCTTCGAGCCAGCGCTCTGCACTTGACTATCCCCTGGTGTCCTTCGTGAAGACGTTTCCAAATATCCTGTCTTAATATTGTGGGAATAACAATTCGGCACTGGTATAGTAGCAAACCTTGTTCCACAGTCAGCTCGTCTCTCGACGTCCAATATGGCTTCATAACTGGATCGACTTTGGTTGTCGCTGGCCATGAGGACTCACAGTATTCTTTTAATTTCTTACAGATTTCGTCTGCATCTTGCTGTTCTCTAATTTCTTGCAATTTCTTGTCACTTGCTGGGAATCCTTCCAGGACAGATCTGACGTGTAGCTCACACTCTTCTTCCATTTGATGATCTTCTTTACTTGGCACTCCCACCGGAGCTCTTGACAATGCATCGGCTGTTACCAAATTCTTTCCTGGTACATGGACGATATTGTAGGAAAACCTCATCATTCTCATCCTAAATCTCTGAATGCGAGGGGTCAATTCATCCAGATGCTTTGTTTTCATCAGTTGAAGAAGTGGTTTGTGATCTGTTTCGATCAGGAATTTTGGCAATCCCACCAAAAAGTCTGCAAATCTCTCGCAGCACCAAGTAACTGCTAAGGCTTCCTTTTTTCAACTTGTGCATATCTTCGCTCTGTATCTGTAAGTGACCTTGACACACAATAGACTGGTTTCCAATCTGTGCCTTCTTTTTGCACCAGTACACCACCCATGCCATAGGATGATGCATCAGCTGATATCTTTGTTGACTTTTGAGGACTGTAGTGAATGAGTAAAGGTGCTGTACTCATTTGTTTCTTTAATGACTGAATTGCTTGTTCCTGCGGATCATCCCAGGTCCATATTGTTTCTTTTCTTAGTAAATCTCTCTACGGCTTTGTCCTGTCTGCCAGACCGGGTGCAAACTTTCCTATGTGATTCAACATGCCAAGGAAACTTCGCACATCGGCTATCTTTTCTGGTCTCGGGAACTTTGTGATGGCTTCCACCTTTTCTGAATCTATTTGTATGCCTTTTTTGGATATAATGTGTCCGAGGAATTTGATGGATTTGACGCAAAAAAACACACTCTTCATTTAGGGTGACTCCTGCTTGCTTCATTCTTTGAAGTACCATATGAAGTCTGCTGTCATGTTCTTCCTTATCCTTTCCTCCGATCAAGACATCGTCAATGTCGTCCACTACTCCAGGAATGCCCGACAAGATTTGGGTCATTTCCCTTTGTAAGACCTCCGGTCCTGAGCTGATTCCGAAAGGCAACCTCTTGAAGCAGTACCTCCCGTATGGCGTTATAAAAGTTGTTAACTTTGGTGACTCTTTCTCCAGTGGTATTTGAACAAATCCACTATTGCAGTCTAGCTTACTGAAATATTCACATCCCGAGAGTTGAGCTAGCAGCTGATCTGTTGTAGGAAGGGGAACATTTTCTCTTTGCACACTTTCATTCAACTTGGTC